GTAGTTTAAGTAGTACATTTCATATACCTCTAGTCCCAGCATTTTGTCCTACGGAAACGGTGATTATAGGGGTTTTGGTTGTGGCGAAATAGGATAGGCAGTGAAGGTAATTTGTGGAACTAAGTTTTAAGGGGGAAAATGTAGTTGAATTTGTTTCTCGCAGCTGCTTGAAGTAACTTGTTCCGCATGTAAATTTAAGGTGTGTGCGGCGGTTCGCGCCGCGGAGTACATTAATCTAACTCCAGAACGGTAAGTTGGACCTCAGGTAAATTGAAGTAGCCAACCTCCTAACCACCATTTTTTTCAAGAATTTCAAGAAACCTGCATTTTGATAATCGTGTTTTCCCGCAACACCTTAAAGGATAAGACAGATTAGGAAAAGCTACAGTTATAAATCAAGAACATTTCTAAATAGAATAAAATAAAAATGCATGTAGCAGTTATTAAAGTATATTCCACTACCCATCCTAATTCTATACCCATAAAACCCCTACAACAACCGTTTCCGTAGGACAAAATACTGACTATATGAGTATATGGGGTGCACTACTTAAATTACAGTTGGTGTTGTTTTTTGGACATGCATTGTCACTTAGACTGCCAAATCTTTTCAATAACTTTTCATATCTCATATGCCAGTGTTCATGGTTGCTCTGTACGCAAGGTGTCCCTAACTTGCCGTATCGCTAAAGAATTAATTAGGGCTCATCCATGAGAATACGCATTTCCGTCCATGTCCTACGCGCCTTATTGTTCCCTGAGTACCACCATTAGAAGACGCTCATGAAAACGGACTTCTAATCTCGATTTTGCACCTTTGATCGGAAAAGACGCCATTTAAATTTTTCCTATATCAAAGCATTCCCCTTGGTGATAATTTTCGGAACGTTTTCAGCAGACTCTAGCTTCAGGTTGCAATTTAAAAAGTACAGTATGCGTAACCAAGCCTGTCGGGGAAATACTAGGTCACACTGTTTGACTTTAGTTTACGTACGGACACTGTTTCACATCACTAAATGGCTATAGTAAGTTTCACTTACTCATCTTGTAGAAAGTAGCTGTTGATTGTCTTTAAAGGATAGCTGATCCAAAGTTGTTTTTTTCGGCACCTACGAATGTATTTAACAAGGAGATAAGCACGTGATCACTGGGACAAAAGGTGTATTCGTCTAAGCTTTAGGACCCGTGCAGGAGACCATTATCAGCTACTGGGAGGAGGCAACCGCAAATGAGTCGTGTTTGCAGACCAACAAATTTATCTGTAATTTCTGCTTACTATAACTGGAGGGATGCCTGTTTTTCGATATCACTTTCAGCAGTTTTTAGTTGCGTACTCCTCTTTCGTCTAATTAAGAAATGAAAATTTTTTATAAATGC